ATTAAGAAAGAAAATTGTATTTAAAATGTTATTTTAAATGCCCCTTAGAGTTCTCTCTTTTTATCGAACTTTTCATGATTTGTTGTTGTGAAATATTCTTTGTACGTAGTATGTCGTGGTTTGCTTTTCATATCAGACTCCTCGAAGTTGGATATATGAAGTTATGATACATATGAAAAAGCATCTGGAGTGTCGCTGTTTTATCTAAATGCTGGTACTCTTAGCATGTCTATTACAAGCGAACATGGCATTCACTACGTATAGAAAGGAAAAACACATACTACTCTATCAATGTAATTCAGTGTGAAGATAAAGTCATCTTCTTAGCAAACTGCACTTGATGTTGGCAAAACACCTTATAAACAATAGATAATAAAATCTAGATTTACACAGAATTTGTTTATATACTTGTAATCCATTCAAGACTAAAACCATTTACAAATCTGTTGGCAATTGTGTAAATATGGCCCAGGTTAGTCGCCTCTATACGAAACAGGCTTGCTGATAGCGGACTGAAAATTGCATACAATTCACGGTCGCTTATGCCTGTTTTCTGGTTGATGAAGCATATTAAGGGGCCAATCCACGGGTCAGTAGCTTTCTGTAGAACGCGAAATCTAGATAGCTGTACGTTTCAGCGGTGGGTAAACTCACACAAACCTAGCTCATTCATCAGAAAAAGGACACAATAACTATGATATTTCTGCAATGAGAAGTTCTCTCACTTATCTCAGTTTTATGATAGTATTTCTTCATCAAGGTGTAAAAATATATCACAGTTTGTCTTTGAGAACAATAACGATGACACATTTGCATATTTTTTAAATTTATCACCATCTAAGGCAGGAATGACGTATGGTTTTGTTATGAAGATAAAGACATTATGTGGGCAATCTATATGTATGTGATTGTGTCAATATCATTAACATGTCAGACTGTTTAATTGAGCGAAATATTTAACGTAGAAAAAATTCTGACCAAAGGTCTGAGCTGACAGTCGGATTCCTTCCTCACAATGACTTCATTGATTTTTTACTGGTGTTACGCGCCATTTTGATTCACAAAATTGACAATTTATCCATATCTATTCTTAATTGTTTTAATTCATCTGACAAAATAGAAAATATTTTAGTATCGACCTAACTCCCCATTCCCATGACCCATATATGTTTTCCGTTGTAGCACTCGGTGAATTGTAAACACCTCTTTGTGTTGTGTTTTTCTCTCGCACTTCCTTTGTGGATAGTAGTTGACTTAACCGAGTGTATACGTACAAGCCGGTCTCTGCAATCTTTGAGCGCATCACCATACATCTGCTGCGCAAACATGATTCTGGCCTGATATCAGCTTCTTCATAACACTTGTTGTTTCAGGGCTTCTAGCCCCGCCGTTATTGTTAAAGAATATTTCCTTTGTATTCTGAACACTGGTGGATGTCTCGAATTTCGTCAAATAAGACAATGTTTAAGTAAAATTAAGATTCGGAATTCGATACCACCTCTCAAAGAATAAATGTTTTAGCTAAGATCTTCAGGAATGATCAATGCTGTAGGTTTTCAGATAGGACAAACCAGCACAAAGCAATTGTTTGGATCTTTAAAAGATATTCTTATTAACAGCAGGGATATTATTCATGGCTTGTGCCGACATCAACTCCAACAATAAAAACGCAAGACGTGTACAAATATTTTGTATATATTAAATATAGAAAAAATATTCAAGAAAAATTTATTTTAATATTGGTATATGTGTTAAGAAGAAAATTCAGAAATAGGATTAGAACTTTTAACTCTTCGTACATATCAGCTTAATTCTACTTATCACGTGATACTTAAATTAAAGTAGACGTATGTAGCTATACCACACTGATAACAAGGGCTATTATCAAAACAACATCTTACTGAAAAGAATGTCATATACTTATTTATAGCGAGTAAATTTATTATAATTCAATAATAATCATACCGACTAAGACGAAACAGTGCATGTGATGAACATATAATGAAGAAAGTGTTTAATAATGAGAACCTTAATTGCTTTAAAAGAAAGGGGAAAGCATATGTATCAACCCTAGTGCTTTGTCAGTCGATAGTCTTCCCACAAAACTCAGCGAGTATCACTAATTCAAAATAAATGCTGTGTAAACAGGCATAGATTTACTACCTTATCACAACGGCAGGTGTTTTAGCACTTCACCCAACCTTTTCATACATACCTGTCAATGGCTGTTCTGTACATTACTTGTTATACGCTCCTCCGATATTAAACCATAACGATTTTACCACCTGAGCCGCTCATCCTACAGGTTCTGTACGTCTAGAATAATATAAAAGTGATACAATAACAAACATCAAAAGATAAGTTGATATATACGCTCTGGGTACATGTATAGTAACATATATCAAAGTGAAAGCTATAGAAACACTATTTGATAGCACTATTTACTTTATCATGTTCACTAGTTAGTATTTTTAAATAAACAAACACAATAACGCTCAATTACGAAGCGAAAGTCAAAGGGGTGTAATGATTACGTACCGATTTTTATGTGTTGTAGTCGAAATAAGGATTAATACTTATGTAATGAGAAAATGATTTTGTTTTAGATATACGGATGTATATTCATTTATATGAAATCTAAATAAGGTAATTGTTCATATAAACGGTAAAATGGAGTTTGGATAGATATGTCAGGTGACGCCCATTGTTAGGATTTACAATATGATTGCTCTCATAGCAATAGTGAGTGTATTTACGGGACAGACCAACAAGAGGTACAAAACACTCATGAAAATCCAAACCTAAAAAAAAAGTTGTGAATCTAAATATGATATATAATCATGACAGTTTCTTTTTCATCTCCTTGTAAATTGTGAAAGTTGTGTCATTTCAAAAGCATGCTGATAAGCGGTCGTTGAAATCTGCATAACTGTTGACATCAGTTGTGGGAGTAGATTTATAGATTCTGTCACAATTATCGTTTTAATCGTAATTCTTCTGGTTGGTGTACGGATGCATGTTAAGATAGTTGGGATAATTTGTTTAAAGAAATATAAAACAGATACATGTACAAGTGAATTTTTATTTCAAATAGAATAATGTTATAATGCAGTGTATTTATGACGGATACGCAAGTGTCGATAACTTATCACAATACATACAGATAATACTGATTACTTACATAGTGATAAGAAATCGCAGTGATACCATTGAACGTGCTGTGTATCCAACGCCTATGTACCTTGAACATCGGATCATAACACTACCCATATATTGTCTTCTTTATTTCATAATAGCATATGTACATATATAATCAGTTCGCATGCAAATGCTAACTTATATCAACATAGAGGGCACATGGTAAATTTAAATTACGTGAGTATGCTTGGGAAAATTACCGTTAAAAAGATATAAAATGAAATCAGTTTATATGATCAGTCCCACCCTGTTTATGTGGTTATAGTATGAAAATTATCCTCTGAATTGATAACCTCCATCATAGGTGTTGAAAGACCGTCTGTTTACCGATACATAGCTTTACAAAGTGAACCCAATTATAAAGTCAACAATAGTGTTTTGCAAACAAAAACAATCCATACCACGAACTCCTAAACAGCCAATAAAATGTCTGGTATAATCGAACATATCTCCAAGCGACCAGGGTTAATTTGTGAATTTTATGAGAGAAGGATCACCATCGCCTTGTCCCTGATTCGTAAATACACCTACCCTCTTGTTTAGATAACGCATGATTAAGCATGCGTGAGTCAATTTCGTTGCAGTCTTGGCTATCTGACTACTACAGTGCTCTATGCCTTCTAGGTTGTGGATGTTCATACACTTACGGGGTTTGACGAATGTTAATCCATTTAAGCAAGATTGAAAGCCATAAAGGTTGTATTTCTACAGTAATAGGTGGAGTTGTGGAGGAGGACAAGCCAATAAAACCAATCGAGTGCGCCTACAACACGTGGAACACAAACTATCTTGTCTACACTAACCATTCCACAGACTTGTGTAAAAACGTCATATTTTCAAACACGCTTGATACGTGTGATGAATGTGCAGTCAATTTGAGGAGAACGAATTTCATTTGTTGAAAAAATTTCAATTAGAGTGTATTTCTTGTGATGAAAATAAAAAGGGTCGTGTATTTAGGGATTCCTTCAATTCTACTGCGGATCCTGTGGGAGCTCCTGTCGACATTTCTCAGTGGGGAATACGTACCTGTAGCTCTGTGCCCGTCCGGGAGTGTGTGCAGTAGCCAGGATAGAGCATCATACCAGCTTGTTGAATAAGTCGATTCTCATATATTCGGTTACCACTTTGGAGAACTTGGGCTTTATCTTTTAATGAATATATCCATTTTAATACTGCAAATCGGGGCTGGTTGAATTGGTAGTAGTAGTGGTGGGAGAGAAGGAGGAGGTAGTTGTGTGTCGGTGGTTCTAGAAAGAGGAAATTTGGCTGAGTTTTGTGTAGTAGTTTGGGCAGCCTCTCACAAGTCTCGGTAGGTCTCCTGTCCGTGTTATAGAGATTTAACCTAATCACCTGTGTTAACCGTGGGTTTATCACAGCTATATCGGTCCGCGCCGTGCCTAGCCTTTGCCAAGGGGTTGATGAGGAGCTGACAAGCAGGACATCGCTTTTTATGCAGAGTATTTCAGTGGTGGTCAGTAATGGTTGATCATACTGGTCAGTGTCAGGACTGGTGTCGGAAGCAGCAGACGGTGAAGAGAACTGGAATATTTTCTTTATTATTAGTCGTTTTTATTACACCATTATGAGATATATGCACAACACCTAATGGTTTGTTTTGACGAATGGTTGAAAAACATGAATACTGGTTGTTTTGGTGTTGTGGATGCTATTCCAACAGTGCGGCTTGTCACGAGTATCCTCACGGAGAGGGATTTCACAGGAGATATTTCACAAATACTAGTAACTACTGACTTTTATATCACATTTGACGGACCACGCAAAAATATAGAGACAATTAAATGACTCGAGGGTACGTCCTTACACTAGCCATGATCTACAAGATCCTAGCTTATATCGTCGCACCGTTGCTCCTTTCCAGTTGTCTAGCCAAGAGCAAACTTTCCCTTTGGATGGATGAGAACCAAGTCGAACACTTAGTTGGTAAGTAGTTCAAATATTGTTTTGTTTTCATTTTTTACAGAATGGTTTAGACCGCATCCAACCAACACTTTAAATAACTACTCTCTTGAAAAAGTCTACTTCACACAAAATTTATACCAGATGGTCTGACTAGGGCACAACACACAGTGGAATCAGCACATCGACAACACTGAATTGTTATCATGTGCATTTGGTTTTCTCAGTGTGTATACCACTTGTTTTATTTTCACAGTTTCTGTTAGAATGTTTCATCTTTAAAATAAATTTTACCCAAACCATAACGAAAGAAGATAAACGGTCATAAAAGTTACAAGTGTAGAAGATTTTCAGCCGAATCGCTCTTTTTTTTATCATATAATCACAAACTGTCTACATATATACAGAGGTAGTGGAATTAGGTCTCGGAGTTTCCATGTATAACACACTAACCACCAGGGTCAGCATTCGTCTGTACCATCTCTAAAGTCACATCTACATACACTCTTAACACACTTACCATTGCATTCAGTATGTAGTTGTAGTAAATGAGGAATGAATCTCTTAGTTATACTTAATTCCATATTACGAAATTTATTTAATAATGGGGATAGTACATCTCCACATCTGTCCAAAGTTTCAATATGTTTGGCCCTTAGTATCACTGACGAATTCTACAAGGACGAAATAGCTGTAGGATCCACGTAGTTCAATATGTTATTTGGCTCTACTGCAACTGCTTAAAACTTTGTATTGAAAGATGCTGTTCTCTGGCGTCCTTACTACAATTTTTTGTACGTGCTAATGATCGTTTCTTAGTATACGGACTTAGCTTGCACTCTGACTTTCTTATTATCAGTCAAAATGATTCTTTCTAAGTTGTTTTAATTCAATAACTGGCTTTGCTGTACCTAGTGCTGAAGTAGAATTGATGTTAAACAATTGCTTGTCGTTTGTACAATTATATGAAACCTCTAGTCGTTACATGTTAAAATTAGGATAATTTTCATTATTCTTTTGCATCTAAAAACACCCTTTTACGTACAATCATATCATTCACACTCGGTTTATGTGTAAAAACTCAGTGACGATCGTGAAGACTGGAGTTCTGCACAGCTTAATACAGTAACAGGTGCCTATGCAACTGTATAATGAACATTTTACCGCCTTTGACAAGTAGCAGACGACTACTTACCAGCATGATGCTTGTCATTAGCGTACCCTTATAGATATCCAACATGTCTAAATATTTATACTACTTAATAATAGAAAAATCGTCTCTGTAGGAGTATTGACGGAAATAACTGGTAAATATTTATATACTTTCAAAACAACCTCAATATATAAACTGTCTATAATTCACCGAGCATTTCACCTCTAAAATTGGTATCTTACACATGTTTATTGTAAGGTCTACACAGAATCTATGTCAAAGACCGACTTTAAGCGTTGAATATTGAGCGATGAGAATCGCAGCATGTTTGTATACAATAAGCAAACCGTACTTCGCAAGACTACAATATACGAAAACTTGAACAGACACCATTATGTGCCAAAGTATGTCTTTTTATCGTAAAGATACACGATTCAATTTTAATTAACTTTTCCAAGTGCCAAGACATCTTTTGTCTTTTTTACTGCATAGAAATAAACTCTCATTAAGTCTGCTGTTTTTTTTTCAAATCTTGTGTATCCGATGTCAACACGTTTTCGCGATGCTGGTCTTGGAAAGCTTTAAATACCGTGTGATAATTGTAACCATTACGTTTGTAAATTGCATTTTCGCTTAAAGGTGTTGCATGGTGTAGAAAGAATAACAATATCGCATTGACCTTTATTACAATTATAAAAAATATATATTTCTATGAAATAAGACATAAAGATATCTTGAATTTTTAACGATATATGGATGTTTTGTTTCTTTGTAATAAAGATATCGTGACAAGGTTTTTAATTGCTAGTGTAATAAGCAATAAGTAATAAGCATACATATTTTGTAAGCGATTCAGGTCCAAATAGACAATTAAGCACATCTGTTGAACATGATATGCATGACAGAAAAGTAAAATTAATTGTAATGTAAAATATATAAACGGCATACAAGAACACCCAGAAATCTTAAGGAATTTCTTCTGATAATACATAATAAAAATTCGTGACAAGCTTTACAATTACTGTGAACTTTAACACTAAGCAATTTTCACACACACACACGTTGACTGTCATCCAAATCCATGTAGATAAATAAACCCATCAGCTGAATTTTATCTATGTCACATTAAAATAAGATTTATTGTGATATAAAATATTAAATAAAACATAAGACTATTTTGATATCGTTGTAAAATGTAATATTTTGTTTCTTTATCATTGGGAAAAACATCGTGACAAGTTTTCCAAATGCCATTTATAATATTATACATTACATGCAATATTTCTACATATATGTAAGCCATTTAGATCCAAGTGGATAAAATAAGAACGTCTGTTGATTTTTGCACAATGAACAACTTTATTTTTTCATTTATACAAAATTCATATTTAGATAACATCTTGCACCTTGAGATGTGAAATCTGCAATGATTGGCTCAACTTTTATTCTGAATAAAAATTACTGCCTAAAAATTTATTATGATAATTGTTACATGTTCCCTTTCACAGGGCTCCGGATGAAAGTGTATATTGTCAGTGATGGAACTTTTCCTCACTATCTACGGACCCCAGGTATTGACAAGGGATTACAATCAATCCCCTCTGAGGTGGACACTGTAAACCTCACGTGGGAGGCTGGGGATGATACGGTAAGGGATTTTTTCTAATTATGATTTTGTTACATTGTTTAATTATTAGTATTATTGTTATGATCAACATTTATTCCATTATGAAATGAGAAATGAAGATATATTTATCTTATGGTTGATGAAGATATCATCTTCATCGACCAATTCGAACAAAGTTCACGTCATTTTTACTTATACACGCATTAGAATCCATTTCAAAGATAAAAAAAAGAACTATGTGAAAGAAAATGAATGAATTTTGTACAATTCAGGAACCACCTAAACCAAATTCCATATTGAAGAAAAATTGTTTGTAGTAGGAATAACATACATGTGTGATCTACCTAGTTGCGGAAGGATATGTCAGTTGACAAAATAAAAAAATTATTGATAGAAGTAGAAAAATGACTCCATTCAACACATAGATTAGCGTAAATGATGTTATAATGTAGATAAACTTTATCATAAGAAGTTCAAGCAAATCCGGCTTAAAAGAATATCTTTACAGTTTAGTTAGACGAAGATTTGAAGAAATTGAAGCATCACATGACTGAGGTTATTATGTACAAGACAACTAAAAAGCATGACGCACAATGTCATACCTAAAGAGCTATAAAGCTCTACATAAGATTCAATTCAACTGAATGGCATAACACATATATTAAAGTAGAGCATATCACTAACATATTATGTCAGACAAATTGAGAATAAATGTTTAAAAGCACAAGGAAAGGTAAAATAGACTTAAATCCTTGTCCAATAAAAATTGCTATGTACAATGATTTCATTTGTAATAATAAAAAAGAAAAGAAAAAAATTATACAAAATCAGGATGATGGGATGTTTGACTTTAAAAAGGGAAAAGTAGTTCTCTAAAAATGCCTGAAGGGAGCTAAGTGATAACTAGTTATTTTAATTTGCTTTCATTTTGATAAGATCGAAAAAAACATGTTTTGTTTTTTAATCTGGTTGATAATTCGCGAAAACATCTTGAAAATATGTTTTAAAAATACGAAATAAAAAAAATTATATTATCCATTAGTGTTAAAAACGTGTATCTAATATGACTATCGGATAGGCAATTAATTAAGACAGAGCATAGTGTTTAGAGTCAACTGATGAACTGCTCTAAAGCAGGTTCAGAACTAACACAGAACAGATTCTCATATGGTTTACTAATCAGGCGTACTATATAAGGATGCCTCTTGATACGGCTGTTCATTAAGCCGTGACAAAAACCTTAATCGCCGTTAGCGGTAGACCTGCCGGACAAGTACACCCAAACAATACCAAAGGCGATTAAGATTTTTCAGATTCAATAAATCCAATCAAATTTGTCATCACGGGCGGCCTACAAAATATTTGTGGGCAGCCGAATTGTATTTGTACTGTTCGGACCACCTCTCCGGCTCATCAATGTGGTGTTGGTGTCACCACGGAGCAAAGGGGCCGTGCTTTTCATTCAATTGTATGTATATTTTCGGAGATCAGGGGTTAAGATCATATAAAAAGCCAACTTGTTTGAAATCCGATGTCACATAGCCAGCTGATTAGAAATCTTGACGATACCAACTTCATGAAACAATCTTCTTTCTGCAAATTGTTTTTTTTTTTCTATAGGCAGGCCCGAAGCAAGCTATGGGTAATTGATTTAAGAAACTTTAATCTTGTTGTAAATCTTTAACGATGAAGATAAAATAAAGCGGAAGAAATCTAATACCTTGACCTATTCTATATGGCTACTATAATAGCTGATTTCCAAAACTACGACCATAGTTTTCACACCAAGGAGGGTAACCTATGGGGACGAGATAACAGGTTCAACACGGTGTGTTACCACAAAGAAAGTTTACAAAACATTCCTCAACGAAAGACACTTCAGTGTGGCTAATTGGCATCATTTACATTTTACCGAGAATTATCAAGTACACTACATTTTGAAATAAAATAAAACACATATAAATTGATCGATTTTTTTCTACAAATAAACTTGACGGAGAAATGTGTAGGTTTAAATTTTATGTCAGATTAACAGTTACTTTCATTCAACATGTTTAAATGGAAAACGTTCTAAATATTTGGTTTATAAATGTGGTCTTTGTAAGGATACTGCTTAAGCTTGGCTCTGTCGTTAAAGAACACCAATTAACCCCTGTGTATTCTGCCTATATATCGTTTGGACGCAGGTACAGATAATTTATATCTGCTGTCTGCGTTTTTACGGGTTTAAACCACATACAATCGCCGTATATAAGTTTAAGCAAGATGTTGGCGACTGTTCTCTGTTCCGTTAGGTGACATAAAATTTTTATACCTTTACAGAATTTCCAACATTAAACGTATCGTTGACAAAGAATGTAAATAGCGTCAGATTTGATTGCAGTTCACAAGTATGTCTTTATAAGCATGAAACGTAATTTTATTACTGGGCTGTGTCGTAAAATAGTTATGTACGCAGTTTGGCCAAGACTATCTTGGACCCGGGACAGAGACCAATGTCCCTGTCTACGTTCTCGCGCCTCTTTCCTCTCCATTTTGTTCTCTTCTACATCTTTGTTTCCAATCTTCAGCCTAACATATCAGATTGAATGTTTGTCCTACTTTATTTTCTGTATCCTTACTTCAACATATGTCTTTACTTCTACCAGCATCCTTTCCTGTGTCTTCTTGCTCTGATCGGCACTCGTATACACTATTATCCTCTTTCACATATTTTTCAGTTTAATTACTTGTCTTTCTCCCTTTCTCCACCTTCATGTATCCCTCTTTCTCTTACTTCTTTCTGTCATCTCTATAATTGTTGCTCTCTTTTTCGCCCTCCTATCCTCTGTACCACGCCTAAAACCAAGCCTTTATGTTCATTAATTGGTATTCTTAAATACTAGATATGTATTAAAAGGCGCTGTATTATTTTATACAAAAACTTATCCCCTTTTGCATGCATAATATTTTATTTCCTGTATTTTATGTCCCCTGCTGCAACAACTTGTCCTCTTTGTACATGACTTTCCCTTTCCTACCCATTAAACCATCTTGTCTCCTCATTGTGTCTTTTTCCTCAAACTCCCTTTTGTCCAATCCTACACCCGCGGAGTCTTCGCGTCCTCAACAATTTACATACATATGATTCATTCACACTCACACTTTCTCATACTTCTCCTCGTGCACCCGTCGGTTTCATTTTAAATCACTCACAATCTCATTTCTCGTGTAATGCCTGCACCACCATGCTCCTTCCTCATCCTCCGGTAAACAAAAAATCCCCTAGAGATTCTACTGACCTCAAGAAGGTCAGTAATACAAGGAATGTCTAGAGCTGTGATTTGTACTCGAAAAGTACAAGTGTTAAAAACCTAATCTCGCTGTGAGATCATCTAATAGCCAAATGATTTTAACTTTGTGTACAATGCATTCTATGTTCTAAAAACGCTTGAATTTTTTACAACAATCTTATTCAATATAACGTTTATCATTTGGAAAATCTTTCCGAAAACGATTTTGCTTTTAAATAAAGATATAATCAGATGACAGCATGGTTAAAACTGTTTTATACGTGCCAATGTATCACAACAATATCATCAATGTATTCATGTCGGGGTTGGGAGAGAGGCTGTAAAAGTATGCCAGCAAGCGTTTCTTTACACATTGTTCTTAGGCTTAGAAAATAATTTGTCGAGTCGGAATCTGTATCCCTGTCATTTGGCTTTCTTTGTTGGTATAAAATAAATACACATTTATCAATTTATGAATTTATTAAAATATGTTGCTAGGGTTTTGGTATTAAATGAAGTTATGTCAGATGTCATATTCCTTCATAATAGAGAGAACATGGGAAAATCTAATCACATTCTACTAAATAAAGTTAAACGATATTAGTTAAAAGATCACTTGAATATACAGACTATGACTGTTGTCCAATTTCCTTTTGAATTTATTCTGAAATGAAATCCGTACGAATTGTTTGCAACTTGTGCCAGAAATGATATCAAGTCTCGATGTATTTCTTGTTCGTTATAAATCACGTGTCATTCCGGGACGATTGACCTTCTCCAGTATTGGTGCCACTATCTATAACGTACTCCATTACACGTGCAGAAGAGTGCGCGTGTTTAATGATAGTGAAAGTAATGATAATCGTTATTATCTGAAATCGACATTTATGTACATCCTACAGGAGATATTTACAGATACAAACATCATATGTAAATCTATTATACATAAAGTACTTGTTGATTTTACACTGTCTCTCTCATATACACCTGCAGTGAAATACATCTATTAACTGTGGCAGTATTACATTAAAAAAGAGAAGGGTGTATTCATAACGAAAAACCCAACACAAACACAAAATGGCTAGCATAAAAGTTCTTGGCCTGTTTTGTTAAAATACATACATACATACATACATACATACATACATACATACATACATAAATGTTAATAGACAAAAATAAAATATATTTCTTCGTTAAGAACATCGTATATCCAGATGAGGTCGAGTTAAGGACACGATAATCTCAAACATGTCACGCGCTTAACATACCTATCGTCATTCGTTAAGGATGTTTAAAGAAAAAAACAATATATGTGTTTTTCTTTATGGGTGTTTTGAATAACGATTCAATTAAAAATTGTGTTGCACAGATCAGAAGAAAGTAAATCGTTAAAAGGGTCATTTTGTGTGCTTCAAAGTATTCTTGATATGCTGTGGGATCAGAGCTTTGAACCCATTTTAAGTGAAGTTCATGTGTCTGTGATATTACGTTGTTTCCGACACGTTAATGGTAATTATTCCGTAATGACTTATTTTTATTAAATCAAAAGGTTAAATGTGCATTTAATGTATTTTCTTGGAGGCACAAATGATATAAGTACTAATTACCGCGACTTTGTAAGGTCATCGAGAACATTGTGTTAAACAAAGATAAATCTAGTATCCAGCAGTAGATGGTATGATATAGTGGTGAAACAGTGATTCATAACTACCCAGACAAAGCATACAAAAGTGTGCATTTTCGATA